TCCAAATAAAATAATGTGTTCAAACAAATCCGAAACACAGAATGGTGTTCAGGAGTACAATCTGTCTTACTATGGGAAGGAGAGAGAGTAGAGAGATGGTTCAGCAAAGGGGTTCATGTTGATTGTGTCTAAGTGGCAGAATCCGAGTTCATAAGTGGATTGAGAGGTCTGTACTTGGCAAGGATAAGCATGTGCCAAGGTCGCATTCAGAGAGCTAAAGGGCCCAAAGCCTTTGGACAGCACCCAGGTCACCCAGGGTCAGACTCTTGAGACCCAGCCCTGTTCTTTCCTTCCCAAGCGTACGTGAGGATCCTTCTGTGACCTTCGGGGTGCACGTCTCTACAGTGGGGCGGACACTTCCCTTTTCTGTCCAACCTGGGAATACCAGAGTCCTGTACAGGTCCAGCCAACCAACGGCGACTCGTTCTCGGGTCGCCTTCGGCTGGGGATGTGGCGGGCCGGAGAAGGTCGAATGAAAAGCTGCAGGACCCTATCCATACCTGGCTTCCTTCCGGGGGCGCCGTGCCGTCCACGCGGCCCGGCGGGGGCCGGGGACACAGGGCCCGGGCGCCGCACGTCGCGCACGACCTCGGCGGCGGCGGCCCTGCGCCGGCTCCTCCCGGGGCGGGGGAGGGGGCCCGAGCGTGGCGCCCATTGGCTGAGCCGGCCGAGCCCCCGGCCCGGCCCCGGCGCGCGGAGGAGGCGGGACCCGCCCGCGCTCGGCCGGCTGGGGTCCGCGGCTACCCGCGCCCGGGCGCGGCACGGAGTGCACGGCCTGGCCTGAGGCGTTGACCGGCCTCGAGCCGGCCTCCCGGGGTGCCGCGGCGGGAGACGCTCTTCGGGCCCGGCTCGGACCGGGCGTGCCTGGCCCCAGCGGGGAGGTGGGGAACGAACGGCCGATCTCCGAGGCCCTTCCTTAATAGTCGTACTGACCCTGAAGTTTTTTTTTGCCCGGGCCCGAGGATGTGCTCTGAGGAGCAGCGCGGGCTCCGGGGGCCGGGGCCGGGGAGGCGTCCCGGGTTGCAGCTGCTCGGGCCCAGCGCACGCCCAGGGCCGGGGTACGAGGGCCTCTGCCTCTGTACCGACGAGGACCCTCGGGGGCAGACCGCTGGCGCCACGGGGTCTCGTTCCCTCTGTAGACCGGCTTGTCCTGTAAGGGGTCCTTATAGCTTGTCCGCAGAGAGGTTTCTTTTCAACACACTCTTGATGTATAGGACGGTGTTAGGTTCCTTTCCTCTCCCCCCTCCCCCCAGTCTATATCATTTTCAAGTCACTTTTTTTTTTTTCGTTTGAAACGCTCTCTTTCTTACTTGGATTTTCTCCTGTCCGGCTGGGAAGGCACCAGAGTAGAGTGCCCCCGCCCTTTCTTCCTGGGACGAGGGGTGGCTCTGAACTCAGAACTGCCCCGCTCCGCGGGCCGTGGAGGTGTCAGTGGGACTGAGCGCCGTGGCGCCAGGCCGCAGCCTCCGCTGGGAAAAGGCCTCCCCACATACCTGTGAAGCCAGAGGACTTGCTCCATCCTGCCCTCGCCCTGGGGCTGCAGGTGAGGTGAGACCTGGAGGAAGCTGTCCCCTCTGGACAGGCTCTGCGCAGGCGCAGGTGGCACCACGGTGGGGTGTCACTAGATGGAAGCCGAGGAGGAGCGCTGGCAGCTCGTGGCCAGGGCTGAAGTCCCGACAGGTCCCTGTGCCATCTCAGGGCTCTGGCGGCCACTTCGCCTGTTGGGCCTCAGTTTCTCTTCCGCAAGACAAAATTCTGTTTAGCCTTGAGACCCCAGACACGGGCGTTTCCGAGTGGAGTGGATCAATGCAGAGGAGGTGTGGAGACAGAAAAGTGGAAGGGAGAATCGACAGCCACTCATGGTTTCCTGGGCCCTTGGCTAAAAGCCTTTGCCGTGTCGCTCACCGTCCAGCCCTGCTGGTTCCTCCCCGGGCTGAACTCAGAGAAGGGAAGTACCTTTCCTGAAATCACCCAGCTTGGCCGAGCTGGATCGGAACCCAGGCTACTCAGAAAGGGCTTTTGGTTCTGTCGCCACTGCCCCTTTTCAGGGCACTTCTTAAATTTTGGGTGGAGGGGACAGCGTTAGCTTCACGTCAAGGGCCGTCCTTGTGCCAGCCCGTTCCAAAGGCTGCACCGTGCTTTGGTGCTGTGCTCACCACACTTTCCACCACCCACCCCATCAGTAAACAGCTTGCAGCCCCTCCTTCCTTGTGGTTTGTCTGTATTTATAAATTAAATGCAAATGTTTATATACTCTAAATATACACGATATGCATGCGTTATGATGTTAGTAGATTATATGTCTGCAGGAGGTAGAACTTTCAAGAAACAAATATGAGGTAGATGGTAGGGGATTCTAAGTCCCCCAGGGGTCACCTTGTGTACATTCCAGAATGCAGTCCTGGCCTTCGGAGCCTGCCGATCTGATCAGCCAGCCCGGCCTTTCTGTGCAGGATGTTAAGCTGGTGCCAGGAGAGCTTGGATCGCTTGCCTGTGTGTCTGGCTCCGAAACCTTGGTTCTGCTCTGCCCCCCTTCATCTCCTAGGACCTGGGACTTGACTGGGCTGACTCACTCCTGTTCTGTTGTGCGCCTTGCAGTTTGTAGTAATGAGCTTAACTGAGTCGGAAGGAAGGCGGGGACAGGAGGAGTCCCGTCGCATCCCAGCCAGTTCACCCACGATCCCCCGTGAGCAGCAGGCAAGGCTGAGCCCTATCTGGGGATGTCTCGCACCTTTGGGAGAACTCTGGGCTGACCCTGCCCCTGCCTCCGCCTGGCTGACCAGGCTCTGCCCCGCAGTCAGAAGAAATCGGGGATCTGTGGGGCTCTCCTGGTGGCCCCAGGCGCACCACCGATGAAGCCCTGCAGATGGGTTTTGAAGCTCAGCTTGCTCTATTTCCATCATTAGAGTATCTGTCCCCACGGACGCCCCAAAAATGTTCCTGCGCCTCCCGCCACCTGTACCTGGGTCTTGGCCTCTGTCCAAAAGTCCGGTATTCTGGTGATGGGAGCATTTGGGGGCCAGGATGCCTGCCCCCCCCCCCCCCCCGCTAGTATGAATCACTCAGGTTAATCATTAAAGCTCCTAGCTTTAATGGTTTCTCAGGAAGCTGGGCGGGGCATGCCAGGCCCAGAGCCCCCGTGGTTCTGCCTTGGGCTTCCCCCTCCCTGCCTGCATTTGGGTCCTCCGAGAGGGACTTTTGAGGCTGTTAGCTCCTGGAATCCTCCCATCTGCCCACAAGTCACAGCAGCTGTATAGTCCTAATAAAAAATGACTTTGCCAAGGTCGCACACTGAGCCCACCCCCCCAACACACTGCCAGCCGTTCCAAGATGGTAACAATGATAAGGAAAGCCGTAGTCGGAGGGGTCTTCCAGCCATGGCCCAGACCTTGGTTTGGCGGATGACAGAGAAGGGAAGACACTTGTCCAAGTTAAGGCTTTCACAAAAGATTGGAGGGGCTCTGCAGCAGTTAAAAAAAAAAAAGGAGCCACTTTCTTTCTCACCTCCGCCCGCATCATCTGTCCCTGGGGAGGTAGGACTTTCCAAGCTGTGTGGATGCAGCAGGAGTCTAAAAGTTGGATTCGGCTGATTTGACTCACTTCTGTGAGTGCAAACGAAACATTAACTGTTCCCATGAAGCATTTGACCTTGGAGAAGCCGCTTTGCTGCAGCCTTGGTTTCCTTCTCTGTAATGTGTGGGCCTCGCTGCTCCGGTAGATGAGGTGAGACTGGCCCTGTGCCCTCAATCCGCCTGGTGGCTATTTTAGATGGAAAGGCCCTTTGTGTGGTCAGTCGGGGCGGACAAACAATGTACACAGCTCCGAGATGATCCTTGCCCACTGCTGAGCCACCCAGGGATCCGACCCTACTTGCTCCGGAGCTGGGTCAGCCCCAAATCCGCAGTAATCAGCTTGTGACTTCAGGGAGCTCAGCTTCGCCCGGTGCCTCCTGGTCACGGGGTGTCGGGACCCAGACCTCTGCTCCAGCACCAGGGGTGTGGGCATCCCTTCCCCTCTCCCCCAGGCTGGCAGACTGCAGGAGGCCTGGAACAAAGGAGAAAGTGTGCATCGCTGGCTTGCAGCCTGAAACCCCTTCCCCCCACCCCCCTTCTGGGCACAGAGGTGACAAAGCCACTCAGTCTGGTAACCGGCGTCCCTAGGATGGCAGAGGCCAGGACAGCTCCTGGCTGGACTCATAAGCTCCGAGAGGCTGTGTCCAGGTCAACAGGCCCAGCCCTGGCCACCAAAACAAACCTGCGATTGTTACTTCCCTCAGAGGGCGGGGTGGAGTGGAGCCTGAGGCTCTGTCCTCCAGCCACTGGGCCTGGCAGTAGCTGACGCATGAACACGGGATTTCGCAGTAACTGAGCGGGCCTCGCACCCCGGCCGGCGGAAGGTCGCGTTTGCCCTTTCTAGGGCTTCACTGGCTTTTGCCTCCCCAGGGTCTCCACGTGCTCTGAAGTGGAGAGAGCTCTTGGCAGGCCCCAGCTGATGGGACATGTGGCTGCCGAGGCCTCTGGGGACAGAACATCTGCCCGAATGGCTTGGCCCAGACTTCCGGTTCCCCCTGCCCACTTGTGTGGGAGTGGGGAGTAGAGGACCCTGCTTCCGAATCAGCTCT